CTGATGATAGGTTAACTTCATGAAGCGCTGGCCTCGTCTCTGGCGAAGAATTACGGGTTGGGGAAAGTAAAATATGTCCAGTCCAAGAACAGGAATAATAACACAATTCTAGATATACGCAGTAACTACTCCGTAGGGGAACCTGTGTAAGTAAGTAAGTAATGATAACTATTCTTACCCTCTTCTCTTTTTCTTTTTCTTTCGCTTTTTGCTTTTCCAGCACGCGCGGACTTTGATAGTCACATCATTAGCCGGTTAACAGGAGGAATGGATCTCGTAGTAAACCATGTGGAGACGAGGAGGACCTTGGCATAAAAGAAAGAATGGACAATAATGAGGCCCAAGGGGGAATCGAAAGACCAGCCGCGATTTTTCTTCCTACATACATTAGTCCGTGCAGTACAGCGTACGGAGTACAGAGCACCTCCCTGCAGCCAAAGCAGGCAGAGATCACTCACTGAATCCCGCCGAAAGCTTTTCCCGGCCCACAGCGCTTTTCTCAATGGAATGTGCGCAGGTTGTTATCCCTACAGCGCTGCTGCAGAGGGATGATTCGATAGAAAAGCCACCGATATTCCATCACACATCCAGTCCAGGGCTGGCTTTTTGCCTTTTCATTTTTTATTTCTTTATTTATTTTTGGGGTCTTTTTTTTCTTTTTCTTTTTTTTTTTCCTGCTTTTTTCTTCATCAACACCAAGATTTGACCAAAATATGAAAAAAAGGAGAAAGGAAAAAAAAAAAAAAAAAAAAAAAAAAAAAAAGCAAAAAAAAGAAGAAAAAGAAAAAAAGGAAAAAAGAAAAGAAAACAAAAAAAGGCATTTGCAACCAGACACCCACCCCTCCCGGCCGCGTGGCAAGAGTGGATCAAAAAGCGTGGATCGAGGCTGTTAGACCCTTGAGAATAGAGCAGGAGGTGATTGGTTTTCCCCAGAGGCTCCCAATGGGAAATTTGGTATCTTCGATGAGGATGAGATATATATGACTATGGATGGTATCATCTATCCTCTATCCTCTGTCCTCTTATCATCTGTCATCTGCTCGACATCCTGTTCACTTGGGGAAGGGAAGGAAAAGAAAGGAAAGGAAAGGGAGGGGGGAGCAAAATCGGCCCTAGTACACTAGTCTCTGACGAACCAGGGTGGATATGATACACATACCATACTAACTCAAGTTAGGATGGATAGTCTGTAATAATGGACGCAGCTGGGCTTGGCCTGGCTGATGATGATTATTTCAACGGCGATGCGACACAGGATGGGGGTAACATGGCTCGGTTGTCCGCATCGTTGTCGTCAGCCTATGTGGTGGTTGGTGTAGTAGTAAGTAATAGTAGTAGCAGTAGTAGCAGCAGTGGTGGTGGTGGTAGGAGCAGGAGGCGGAGGAGGAGAGAGAGAGGATGTTGTTCATCAGATCAGATATTGCTCCGACCCTTGGGACACGTACAGGCCGAGCTATGGTTGCGCATCCAAGCATATCTCGGGACAAGGTTTCATGGCGAACGGTTCAGACGGGGGTTCCTGTAAAGAAACAAACAAACTCGCTGTTACTAGTAAACTAGTAACTGAGGCTAGTACGAGGAGATACTGCGGAGCTCACTACAATGTCCTTCCTCGGTGCGGAATTACCACTGAGCATCGGTAGATGAAAACTAGTAATATA